GGCCCGGCTATTGGCCTTCACCTCCCAGGTGAATGCTGAAGCCGGAGAGAGCAGGGCGTTGCGTGGGTGCGGGGACGCTGCCTGAGGATCCCCCGGGGGAGGTCTAATGGGCCCCCAGGGGAACCGCCATGGATGTGGGAGCTGGTAAACAGACACCACCCGGGCCAGTCCCTGGGCTCAGGACGGGCCCTGGGAGATCCGCGCATGCCCGCTCCTTCCACAGAGAGGGGGCAAACAGCCCAGGACCGGCTCCAAGAGGAGGCTCCTCACCCAGCCTGGGCGGTCTGCAGCCTCCAGTTCCTGAGTCTCCCATTCAGTCATGGGACTTAGGACTATTTGTGACCCATTGAGAACTCCATGCTGGGCCTGTTGAATGGACTGGGTGTGGGGGGTGGGGAGGAGGTCTCCTCATCGCCATGTTTCAGCCACTGTACTCCCCAATGCCCCTTAGCTTACTCTACAGACCCCACACCCCACAGTGGACTCCAAGACATGCACCTGAGTTCTCCTCCTCCTCAACGTCCTCGCCGTAAGCCAGGCTGCCCATGCCGGTGGGGCTGTCGGGAGAGGGCGCGAGGTCACACCAGTTACCCAGCTCTTGCCACACACTGTCCATTACCCTGCCTTTTCCAAAAAGTCACCTCCCACTTCCATCGGTTGGCACCTTCCCGGCTCCGAAGGTCCAGCCGATGTCTGTGTGTCCCTCCCTGAATATCCGGGACCTCCACTGATCCCCATGTCCACCTGCACCAGCCCCATGCCCACCAGTCCCTCCAGGGACTAGGCTGAAGTTGCCTTGGCTTCCATTACAGAAGGTCTCCAGAATGGATTCTATACCTCTGGCTGCTGCTGCCCACCCCCAGGTCCATGCTCTGGCCAGGCCACCACTGCCTCTCCTGGGATGGCCACACCACCTCCCCCTGGGTCTCCCTGCTGTCCCCTCTTAAGCCATGTCCACAAAGGACATCATGCCCAGCCAAGGGAGGGGCTCCACTAGTGTTTGTTGACTGATTACGTGGGCCCGAGAGTTAGTCATTGATTGCTAAGCTTGTATAAAGGGCCGGGATGCTCTGAGAGGTCTCAGCGTGGTCTCAGGGCTGTGAACTGTGGTGGAGGCAGACCCCAGACTTCCCACGGAGCCCAGAACCTTCCCACGGAGCCCAGAACCTTCCCACAGGCTCTCTACTTCACCGTCATCCCATCAGTGTCAGGAATCTGTCTCAGCAGAGGGCCCTCCGCAGCTCTCCGAGCCCTGCCCCGGGCTGCTCCCTCCGCCCCCTCTCCCTTCTGGCCTCTGTTCACAGTGCTCAGACAGGCCGGACTTCTTGAGGCAACTTCTCCGGGCTCCCCCTCTGCCTGGGGTGCCCCCATCCCAGATCTCTCACCTTCTCTCCTCTGCTGCTTTCCCTTTTAGGTCAGGATGGCTGGTGTCTGAGTCACAGGTTTCCCTGGAGCCGTGAGGGAGACCAGGCCCAGGGCCAGCTCTAAAGCTCCTGGGAGCCTGAGCTGTGCCTCGACTATTCCCCAGATGAGAAGTGAGGTTCAGGCGGGGGGGGACCCGGGGCCCAGGGAGACTCCGTGCAGGAAAGGGCGCCCTGGAGATGTTCTGGGAAGGCAGGAATTTACCCAAAACGTATCTGGGGTAGGAAGACGTCCTAGTGCTTGCCCCCTCCTCATTTCCACTCAGCTCGCCCAAGCACCCCATTGGCCATCCCTCCTCCTCCCTCCCCTACCCCTCCCACACACATACATAAGCCTCAAGGCCCTGGGGCCTCCCTGAGGTGGCGACTCCTTACACAGACAGGAGTCCACAGCCCCTCGGGAAGGTGGGACGAGAGAAGTCAGGGCAGGGCCTAGCAGGGAGGGCCTGGTAGGGGCGAGGTAGGCTCGGTCCTACGGGGGGGACCAGGGCAGAAGCAGAGCCTGGGATCATCTCTGGAGTGAGTGGTGCCAGCCTAGGGGTGTTGCCCTGGATAAGGGGCTGCAGTGTGTCAGTGGGTGGGGTCTTGCACTAATGGAGAGGGGGGGTGTCTTTACTGACATTTTTTATTTTTTTAAATATATTTTATTGATTTTTCACAGAGAGGAAAGGAGAGGGGCTGAGTTAGAAACATCGATGAGAGAGAAACATCAATCAGCTGCCTCCCGCACACTCCCTATTGGGGATGTGCCTGCAACCAAGGTACATGCCCTTGGCCAGAATCGAACCTGGGACCCTTGAGTTTGAAGGCTGATGCTCTATCCACTGAGCCAAACCAGTCAGGGCTTTATTGACATTTTTAGGGAGAAGAAGGGAGAGAGAAATATCAGTTTGTTGTTCCACTTATTTATGCATTCATTGATTGTTTATGTGTGCCCTGACCGGGGACTGAACCCACAACCTTAGCATATCCAGATGATGCTCTAACCAACTGAACTGCCCAGCTAGAGCGACGAGGAGTTCTTAAAGCACTAGACTGTTCAGGGGCCTATCATTTAGGGGCGGGGCCTTGTAAAGCTGGGCCCGAGTAAAGGGGATTGGAGATGGTGAGGTTCCCTGGGCAGTCTGGGGCTAGAGGGGAAGGAGGGACACACAAATAGGTGGTAACTGCAGGTTTCCACCCCTCCTATGCCAGGGCACAATCTTGGGCCGGGGGAGGCTGTCAGAGACACCGTGACCATCCTAATTCCAGAAGGAAACCCACAGAGCTCTGTCCTGGTGTGCATCCACTCAGGGGGCGGCCGGGGCTCTGGGGGGCCTTCCTAAAGGAGGTGATGGGGGGGGGGGACGCGGGGGAAACCTCGGAGATGGAGAACTAGAGCCAAGGTGGAAGGTGGTTCCTAAAGTTAGGGTCCCTTTGAGAGTTGGGACTCAGGGGGAAGGACAAACAGGGGCACAGGGGAGATGATTAAGCTCCATGTTTCATCACAGTTTCACTCTTAGGAGCCCCTCAAATGCAGAAATTTGGAGGGCAGTGGGCTCTGGGCACTTCACCCCATCTCTGGGCCTCTCGCTTTGCCCCAGTCCTGACCCCAATGGTGGTGCCTGTGCCCTAGTGTCTTCTCCCCAGCTGGGGCTCAGGCCCCCGAGCACCAGCATCACCTCTGAGCAGATGCCGGGTGAGTGAATGAACGAATCAACAAAGATCCCACCTTCCTCATTAGAGCAGCAACCTTTCGGAAGCTGGGTCTGCATGTCCTGCTTGGCCTCTGGGGTGCCAAGTAAACCTCTCCTTTCACTCACTCACTCCCTCACTCACTCACCCTGCCCTCCCCAGTGGCTAATGAGAAAGACCTTGGGAAAGGTGCTTAGGACAGACCTTGCTAGATGCAGCTGTGAGGAGTCAGGGGCCCGGTTCCCCTCCCTGGGATAGTAACGGCAGGGAGAGGAGTTCCTGAGCAGTGAGAAATCTGCTTCAGCCTCCAAGAGCCAACAGGTTTAGAGAGCTTGCATGCCTCCGAGCTGGGAAGCTCCTCTCCCAGCTCCCCCCCTTTCGTGCCGAGGAGGGGTACAGACACCACACAGAAACGGGTTTCTGTAAAGCCACTGGCACTGCCTAGTTAGAAAACTCTTGTTTACAGAAGAGGAGGATGAAGTCAACTGGTTACCACCGAGCCCCCGAGGGATGTGACAGCGGCAGGGCCTGACTGGACCAGGCCCTGCACCTTCAGGCACCGGGACCGAGAGGGAAGCCGGCCCAGGAAGCCCTGGGAGGGGCTGCTATGTCCTCGGCACAGGGCTGCCCTCCTGGCCTTCACCAAAAGCCAGGGGCCGGTGGCAGGGCTCCTGGCAGCCTTCTCCCAGCACCTTTCTGCTCCCACATCAGGCCCTGCCAGTCCCAGCAACTCTTGTGTCACAAGGCTTTTTCTGGCTTCACTTTTCACTTTGAATAAATTAAAAGCAGAATTTTGAACAGTCGGGCCTTCCCACCCCCACAAGACACAAGAAGGTGGATTCAGGGCACTGGGCACACATTCCTGGGGATTGGCAATGGTGCCCCTCTCCATGCAATTTCTGACATCCAGCCCTCACAGGACTTGCCTGGAAGCATGACAGGCCCCAATGATTCGCCAGGAGGTTTCTCTGCTCGGGGAATACTTGACCCCCAGGGCAGGGACAGCCTAGGGACCAGAGCTGGCTTTCCTGCCCCTCCACTGGGCAGGTCCTGGCCGTGGGGACAATGGCCTCCACGGAGCGTGTGGAGTCACACCTGGCGCCAAGAACACCACTGGACCCCATGGCGTGTAAAATTCATACAAACATTTATTCTGTCCCTGCCTGGGGGCTGAGGCATTAGGGAGGGGGCTGTGGGCCTTGACTCGGACGGAAAGTGTTCAGATGCCGGAGCCCTGGGGGCTGGCTCAGTTCCTGGAGGTCGAGTCCCGGTGGTTGAGGGGGACCAATTCCCACCCAACCAGGCCCAGGCTGGGCTGGCCTCTGGGGTCCTGGTGGCTGTGGCAGCACCAGCTGATTGTTCCCCCCACCCCACTCCCACCCCAGGAAGGAAAGCAGCACCAGGGTCTTGCTCCTCCAGGTGGGGGGAAGACAACTTTGCAAGTCATCAGGTTTAAATAAAAATAATAAAAATAACATACAAAATAAACAAAGACAACCCCTGTCTAAACAAGCCCATGACAAGACTACCTAGCCCACTGGACACTCTGCAGGTGAGGGGAGAGGAACAGGTGGTCAGTCTACAGGGTCACTGCCAGGGACACAAGCAGGGCCCGATGGGTGGCCCAGCCTCCACTGTCAGCAGCAGCAGACCCCAGAAAAGAGCAATCTGGGGCGGGCGCAGGGCAGGCACACGGGGCTACCCAGGGCCTGGGCTCTAGGTAGGTCCGAGCTGGGTCTGGGTGCCACGTGGCTCCTCCTGTGCGCTCCACTTTGCATCTTGGTGATGGGGACAGGGTTAGCTCTCGAGATTTATTGCACTGTTTTGGAAGAGGCCTGGGGCTAGAGGATGTGCCAGGGGCAGTGGGAGGCAGGAGCAGGAGGGTGGGCGGGGGACGGGCGGCAGTCACCGCTTGGTCTTGGCATCTTCTCGAATCTTCCAGATCACCAGGTGCATGCAGGCGCTGGCGTCCTCGCTGGAGCTGTGCCCGTCCACTGTGGGGTGGGGGTGGGGGTGGGTCAGAATGAGCCAGCCCTGGGGCCCCACGGAGCTCCCACCAACCCCCTCCAGCCCGCCCCACCCCGCCCCATTCACCATTGTCCTGGATGATCTGTCTGAGGTAGTCGGCCATGAGATTCCGAAGGGAGCGCTTGTAGGGGAGGCCCAGGCGGTGCGGGAAGAGCACAGACGTGTCCACCACGGTGCTGTGGATGACCTGTGGACGGCAAGCTGTCAGGGCTTCAGCGCCTCGGGCCCCGGAGGGCTGGGCTGCAAAGGCATCCAGGGCTTGTGAGGATTCCACAGTGTCTGTCTGGTTCCTGACCCACAGCCCCACCCGGCCTCTGAGGGCAGAGCCTGGGGCCAGGATACCTTCAAGGCCAGCAGGTCGCTCTCCAGGCTGTGTCCGATGAGGATGGTATCAGCATTGAACATACTCAGCAAGACGGCCTGGACATCCCGGAGCGAGATACTTGTGTCGGCAAGGTCAGCCTCAGTCACGCCCGAAAACCTGGGGCAGGAGGGGCAGGGACCTTAAGGTGGCTGGGAGGGCACCAGGGGTCCCCAACCTAGAAGCTGGGTTAAGGTCAGGGAGACTGGATCCTAGTGGGATTAGCCCCCTGGGACCCGAAGCCCTTGAGGGTCAGACCATACCTTGTGTTGTAGTCCACGATCTCATTGTCCGGCTTGACGAAGGTGTCGTAAACCACCTGCATGTCGGTGTCCACCACGGTGACCCGCGTCAGCTCCAGGCCATACGTGGTATAGGACTGCAGGCCAGGGGACACTGTTCATACACGCCCCATGGCCTGCCTTCCTCCCCGGGCACCCGGCCAGACAACCCAGCCCAGCACTCACAACCCAGGCTGCCTGGTTCCTGAGCCTGCAGCAGAGGTGCCGGCCCTGGGCCAGAGAGCCTTCTGGGGCCTGTCTAGGGGTCAGAGCAGGTGTGACCAGGAGCCTGTCTCAGAATCCGCATTGTGTGCACGAATCTGCACATCTGAGTGCAGAGGGCTGTCCAGAGCCTGTGGTGCGCGCTGGGGTCAGGTAAGAGCATCTACTTGGTAACGGAGCCGATGCTGGTAAGGCTGTGAGTGAGCCTTCGAGTTCCAGACACAGCGTGACCCACAGGGAGGAGGACCCAATTATTGTTCACAGCTCTTTATCTGCTCCTTAATCTACAATCTGCACTGGCCCAAAGCTTCAGGCAGAGATGATGGGACAGCAAGGCCCCTGCCCCCTCTAAGGGCCATGAGTCCTTAGCAAGGGCCTGTGGTCAGCCAGACGACTCACCATTTCACAGTCAAGGGCATAGATTCCGGGGTGAGCATCTTCTGGAAGCTCCTTATCAAAGGTCTTCATGAACCCCTCGAGGTTTTCCTTGCGGCCGTCCTGCACGTGTTGCTAAGGGAGGAATGAGGGCGGGAGGCTCAGAGGGCAGGAAGAAAAGCCAATGAGGCTGAGTTCTTGGGGCCACACCCGTGCATGGACTGAGCTCCCCTTTCCAGGGCAGATGAAGAGGGTGGCGGGAGGTGACCTGCGCCACCGGGGCGGGTGGGGCTCCTGAAAGGAGGTGTCAGGCAGGGCTCGACAGTCCTACCTTGGCAACCTGGCAGCCGGTGGAGCCGATGGCAGCCGAGCAGCACAGGTACTGGGTCTCCCAGCCCCCAGCCACTGAAAGAGACGGAGGTCAGGGCAGTGCCCCCACGCCTCCCGGAGGCAGTTGCTGCCACCTGTTTGCCTGAGCTGGCAGGGGCTTCCCAAGAGAGCGGACCCCAGCCCGTGAGGCCAAGGATTCCAGCCCTACTCGTGGGGCAGCGGCTCTACAGGGGAGGACTTGGGATAGGCACAGCCCCTCACCTCGCAGGGGCCCTTTCTCAGACTGGCAATGAGTACACATGCAGGGTGGGTCCCTGGGGCATGACTAAGGGAACGCTGTGCCCCGGAGAACCCTCCACGAGCCCCCAGAGGTGGGTCTGCAGGCACCAAAGACACGCCAGGCCTATGCGGCCCTGTGGGTCAGAACCCAGTAACACTGGCCATTAAGTGAAGCCAGCTGCGGGACAGGACAAACCCTTTGTTCCCAATCGCCCCGTATTTCTATAAGCGCCTGTGCATCAAGAAAGGGCAGGGGGGACGAGGCTGTGGGAGGCCTCCTTTTATCTGAGTCTAAATGTGCAGAAAGGTCTTCACATTACTGTTGTCATAAAGTACAAAAAGGAAACTGAAAGGGTTTGAGGCGGTCAGAAGGGAGGGGCCGAGTCGGGACCTCACCTCGATTCCGGCGGAGCCGCCCCCAATGGTAGTGACATTCTTCATCACGCACACAGCGGCCGGAAGGCGACACGAGGTACTCAGTGCCACAGCGACAGCAGACCCTGCATGAGGCTGTGGGTGCAGAGAGGTGGACAGGAGGGGTGGAGGGAGGGGTCAGGCCAGCCCCCGTGGCCTGAACCTCTGGGTCTGTGCCCACTGACCATGCTTTTTCCTCTGCCCTGTGTGCCCGCCCAGAAGCAGAGGCAAGAGACAACTCACAGTCTTTGGGCAGCTTCTCCTCAGCCGTGAAGATCACCGCGCCCCCCGGCCGCTTGGGGTGTGGGAAGGGGTAGCCGTTCTCCTTAAGCTGGTCCTCGGTGAGCAGGTACTCTTTGAGGCGGTCGTACAGGGCAGCCCCTGCAGGTGGCCGAGGACAGCAATCAGCCCGCAAGGAGGCTAGGGACAGCCAAGGGTTAGGCAGTGGGTGGAAGGGAGGGTGGCGGTGGGGGGCAGGCATGGGCCCCAGGCTCTGGAGGAGCCAGGTTTACCTTTCAGGTCCTCCACACGGGGGCTGCTCGGGCGGTTGAGTGAGAAGCTGGTCTTGGCAGCCAACTTGCCCCCCAGCACCGCCTCATGGGACACAACCCTCCGGCCACTAGTTTCTGGAAAGGGGGAGAGGAAGGGTAAACTAGGCTCGACTCCCGCATCCTTCCCACGTGCTCCCCTGCTTCCTCTCTGTTTCCAGGACAGCTCCCTACCACCTAGAGACAGGGGAGGCTCTGGGCCAAGCACCCACCCCCACATTAACTCAGGACCAGCAGGCCTTGTGCTGCCTGGAAGCCCCTCAGTTTTCCCTCCGGCTCCCCCTGGGTGGGGTTTTCACCCTCCCAGGGAAAGACGTTAACAGGAGACATAATGGCCATTTCGAACAGGAGGTGTGGATGGGGGTGGGGAGGACAGCCGAGAACAGAGCAGGGAAGCACCCACTGATGGCTTAATGCGCCCTGGAGAGGCTTCGCGGACGGCTTCCCGGTTAATGCACAGAGCAGGCAGGCACAGAGCTTTGAAGAGCCAGCGCCATTAGCAGGCGGGAGGCCTCGCTGGAGAGACCCCGCTTTCAGAGGAGCAGCGTGGTTAAGAGCGCGAAGAGGCTGTTCTGAGGGCGTGGGGCTTAGAGGGAGCCTGACAGCCCGGGACCTTTTGTCTGAAAATCTTAGCGCTCCGAGCGGCCGAAAGGCCGCCGGGAGGGGCCCTACCACTGCAGGAGCCACGGGGCCTGGATCTTTCGGATGCTGCACCTGAGCTGCCCCACGCTGCCCAACTTACTGCTGAGGCCGGGCACAGTGCTGGGGACCAGGCCCCGCAGCTTCTTGAGGGTGTTCACAGCGACATTCAGGTAAATGTTCTTGCTGGGGCTTCGGTCGTAGGCCACCTTCTCCTCATTCAGTGCCTGAAACACGACGCCATTCAGTCCCGGACACCCCGACAGAGGGCCCCAGCCCTTCCGCCCAGGACCTGGCCCTGCACCCCCAGGTCACCCACCTTCTCTATGGCTTCCTGGTTGGAGGAGCAGAACTTGAGACACTCCTCAATGAACAGGTTGAGGTATCGTTGGCGGATGACGGTGGGGACTTTGCCCCCAAACTCTTTTGGGATAATAGGCTTCTTTAAAGTCTGGAGGGAACATGGACACAGTGAGGGTGGCACGCCCCTGCGTGGTCCTCTGACACACTTCTTGGAACCCCCTCCACACAGAGTAGAGCCTGCTGGAATCCAGGCCTTACTGACCACAGGGGTCATCACGGTCTGGCTGATGCCAAGAGACGACCACACCAGTGTTGACAAGAGGGGGGGCTCACGGCACTTTGTCTTCTCTCTCTCCTCAATGTTTCTGTGAACCCAAACTACTCTAAAAAGTGAGAGGCTGTGAATTAAAGAGAACACCAGGGAACAGGAAGACTGGGATGCTGGGTGCATCATGAGTGGGTGCCCTGGCTTCTGCGGGGAGAGGCAGTTACCTGTAAAGACGGGCTGTGTGCCACGCGCTTGGGGGTAACGGTGCTGGTGGTCTTGGACGCCATGCCTGACAGCGTGCGCGTCTTTAGGAGCTGGCTGCTTGGCTCGAGCCCATTGGGGGGCTGGCTGCTGCTGGCCGGGAGGGTCCTCTTGGTACCTGTGGAGGCTGGTGTGGGACAGGAAGACAGCGCACCCATCACCGAGCTGCAGAGCACTAGGCAACTGCGATCATTCAGCATCAGCAGGATGTGCATCTCAGAGCACAGGGGGAAGAGCAAGGGATGGGAACAGGGGCTATGGAAGGACATCAGGTTCTATCTGTTTTTGGGCAAGTCCATCGAGAAGGGGGACACAAAAACGGGGCTGTGAAGACCGGCAGGGTGTTCCGGTGAGTGGCTGGGGGCACGGGGAGCCTCTGCCACATGTTCCGGCCCCTGACTCCAAAGCATTGACGTCTGAGAGAGGAAAGGCCCTGGTTCCTGGACTGAGGACCAGAGGCTCTGGGACACCCCAGCCTGGTCATTGTGACCCAGCCGGCCTGTCTGCTGCTGCCTCTGTGTTCTCCTCTCCCTTTGATGAGGTCACAAACCAGACAGTCTCCCGCCCCGGGTTGGGCAGTGAGGCCAGGGAAGGTGCATCCCTGAGTGTATGGGCAAGGGGGCCTCTGACCAGCTCTGAGCCTGGGCTCAGCCCTGATAAAGGAACAAGAGCAGATGAATGGAGGCCCAGGTCCCTGGCTCCGGGGAATCCTACGCCAAGGTTGGCCTTATAGGCCACGTGGGGAAAAGAGAGGAACATGCATTTAGCTTTTAGGCTCATGTAGATGTAGAATTTCCTGCAGTGGGTCTCCCAAAATTCCAGGAAAACCCTCTAGGCTCAGCAGAGCCAGGTAGTGTCTAGGAATGCTGGCTGCCACGGTGGTGACTATGGATGGCTGAGTGCAAGTTTATGAAATTGTGCACATCTCAGAGTGCAATCTCTGTTCCCTGGCCTAAACCACACCTGTCACCGTCAAGTTCTAACTCAGGCGCTCTGGGGAGGAGGGATCAGAATCTGGGCACACCAGGAAAACCAGGGACCTGCAGGACCACCCCATGGAACCTGACTCTCCACTCAGCTGGCTACCCAAGGGGGTCTTTAAACCAGCACGCATAAACACCCCACTGAGTGTGCAGCCCACTTTCAGACAGGGCCAGTGGAGACAAGTGCCCCTCAGAGAAGAACAAGGAACAGACACAGCACCCAGCCCTCCCCCGGATCAGCTGGCTCCGTTCAATTAGGGCCCGAGACCTTGGATTACATCCCCAGGCCAGCTCCCTCTTCCTAGCACCACTGTCTGGAGCCCAGTGCCCACACTCAGACCAGCCCCCGCCAGGCCACAGGCCTCCAATGCCCCAGAAACATGGGGGAGGCAGGGACACAAAGACCAGGCAAGGACAGAGTGGGAGGCCCACAGGATGACCTCTGGGTCAGGGGCTTTGGAGGGAGGCGGGAGGCCAGTGCTGAGGAGGCTTGGGTCTGGCAGACGGACACCCCTCAGACTCTCCACAGCCAGCCCCCCAATGTCAGGAGAGGCCCAGAGCCACTGGGCACTGCGCCAGGCCTGCCCTAGCCTCCTGCTAACAGACAGGAGACTTTCTCCCATTTTATAGACAAGCACACTGAGGCCAGGCCAGACGCTACTGCAGGTGCACTGGGAGCCTTGCCTCCCGAGACCCTGCCCCGGACTCACCTGCAGCCAGGCAGGGGTTGGGGACGTGGGCAATCCGCCTCTTCTCTCCAGGCACTGAGATGTGGACGGAGGTCGGCTTCTCGGCCGGCTGCTGGGCAGCCTGGAGCCAGCTGGCGGACTCCCTCTGAGCCTGCTGAGCTCGCCGGTAACATACTTCCTGGGCGGTGGGGACCCGGGTGGGGGGGGCCGGGCCTCTCCTTACGGGCTCTGACTGGGTGACGAGAAATTCCAAAGCCCAGCTGTATGTGAGGGGCACCCAGAGCAGTCCGCCAGGGGCAACAGGCTGACGGTAGGGCCACTGGCAGGGAGGCAGGGGCTCCAGGGTAGGGGCTAGGCAGGGTGCACCCAGCTCCACCTTCAGAGCTCGCAGATGCCCTGGAGGAAGCCAGCTCCACACTGTGGCTCTTTGGGCTGGGACACACATTGCTCCACTTCTGGGTGCCAGCATGGTCCCGTTCTCCTGGCCTCTGGTGTCCAAGAGCCTAGGCTGTGCCCTCACCCCTAAATCTAGGCACTGGCAGTGGAAATCCCTGCCTCTGATCAGACCGGCACACTGAGCCAATCTTACTTGACTGATCTTCTCTAGACTAGCTTTCAGAATCCCAGGGCTCCTGGGATCAGATTAACACACTGATCCAACCCTACTTAATCTGATCTTCTCTGGACTGGCTTCTAGAATCACAGGGCTCCCTCAGGACTGAATCAACAGGAGGGAGCTCTGAGTCCAGAGCGTGGGGCCCATCCTCTGCTCAGCCCTCCCTGTGCCAGGTCACTGAGTGCCCTACAGTGACCTGACAACCACTCCTGTCTCTGGGCCAAGGGGAGGAAGCCAAGGCTCAGAGAGGTTTGGCCACTTGCCCAAGATCACACAGCACCATTCGGAGCAAGACAAGGACCAGGCACTGTGACCCTGTGGGAGGGCTCACCTGCATCTCTCTCCCCCTGCTCTGGACCCTGCTCCCCACTGCATGGAGCACAACTCCGATGGGAGGTGGGTCCCCAGGCACTTCTCTGCCAGGACACAGGGAGTGTTGAACTGCGTCTGCCAAAGAAACCCATTGACCTTGTTCTGCAGACAGGAGAGCCTTTCGCTGGAGTCCTGCCAGCCGCCACCCAGAACCCCAGTGCAGACCCTTACCTCCTTGCCTTGCTTGGTGAGATGAGAGATCCTCCTCTTCTGCCCAGGGAACAGAGTGGTCAGACCCAACTGTTCCTTGTCCTCCACCTTCTCTTCTTTGGGGGGCTGGAATACATGTTCATCACTCAGTAAGGTTCCCTCCCTGGCCTCACTACCCACAGCTGCACAGTCAGCCTGGGAGTCAAGGGTGTGATTCCCAGGCTAACACAGGGAGCAGGGTGGGAAGGGTAGGTCCTCACCCAGCCCTACCTTACAGCTCAGGAAACAGACTCAGTGCCTCCCGGCCAAGGACCCTGGGTGCCAGCCCAGTCCTCAGCAAACTTCCCGTGCCTCACTGGGGATGAGGTCTGCAGATATGCCCAGCAGACCAACAGCTTCCTGCTCCCCTCCCTCTTCCTCCCATCCGCCTGCTGACCCTGCCCAGGACAGGGTTCAGAAACATAGGAACCCAGGGGATGAAATCAGGCGGCAACGGCTCAAAGGGCTGTGAACAGGTCAGTACTAAGGGAACAAGGAGCCGGAGGCCGGACCCTGAGGCCCGACACAGACGCTGAAGGCTTCTATCAGGGGCTGATCCTATCCTGCTGTTTTGCCCGGCCGAATGCTCAGTGACTGAACGATGATCTATGAACCTGGAGGTCACAGTTTGATTCCCCGTCAGGGCATATGCTCGGATTGTGGGCTCAATCCCCAGTGTGGGGTGTGCAGGAGGCAGCCAATCAATGAGTCTTTCTTATCACTGATGTTTCTCTCTCTCTTCCCTCCTCTCTGAAATCAATGAAAAATATTTTTTAAATAAATAAAGCAAGCTCCCTCTGGTGGCTGACATGGGAACAAGGGATGAGGAGACCCAAACAGATTGGGGCTGGCAAAGGTTTGGGAGGGAGGGGAGAGAGAAGAGGGGAGAGGGAAGAGAGGAGATAAGGATGAGAAGGGGTCAGGGAAAGGGGAGTCAGGGTAGAGGGGAGGAGAGAGAAAGTAGTGAAAGAAGAGGGAGGGACTGCAGGAAGAGGGGCTGGAAGGAGGAGGAAAGGGGCTAGGGATGGGAGAAAGAAACTGGGAAGAGGGAAGAGGGGGTTGGCAGTGCCTGGTACCCCACTGCTGGATGCTCTTAGATGCTGTCACAGAAGCCCCAGTGGGTAAGCCAGGACTCTGCCAGAGGGCCATACGTCAGTGTTCTCTTTCTAGACGGGGATCAGGGGGACAGCCAGTAGCCACGTGGGTTCCTGAATTTCCATCTCCACCTCTGCACTGAGACTCCAGTCACAGGGAGACTCTGAGGACAGAGTGCCAGCAGCCTTCCTGAGCCCAGCCCCGACCCTCACCTGCCGGGCCTTCCGGCCCCTGTCCTCCGTCTTGACACAGGTGGATTCGTTGAAAATGCGCAGGCACTCCTCCATGGGGTCTGAGTCAAAGTCAACCTCCTTCTCCAGGGCAGAGTAGTCCACATCTTTGCCTGGCCCCAAGGAGGACGAGGAGGAGGAGGACAAGGATGTGGAGGAGGATGTGGAGGATGACAAGAGGGAGGCTGGGCAAGGCGAGGGGTGAGGGGAGGCCTTGAGACGCTTATGTGGCCCCCGCGTGGCTGAGAGGTCCAGGCTAGAGTCCGAGTCCGAGTCCGAGCTGGAGCTGAGGTTGGAGAGGGCAGAGGGACCCAGTGCAGGTGCCGTGGGCCCTGGGTCCTCATCCTCACTCTCATCCCCAAAGAGGTCTGCATGGCTCAGGGTCCGCCTCTGCAGCTTGGGGGCCTGGGAGGTGCCCTCGTCGAGCGAGTGGGCCTTCCGCTCCATCAGCTTCCCAGAAGGGGTTTTCCCACCCATCCTGCCTGGCAGCTGGGAGGCATCCCCGCCAGTGGGGCTGGGGCTTGGCTGCAACCGAAGCTGGTCGGTCCGGCCTTTCCCTGAGCTGACCACTGAGGTGGCCAGAGATGGCTTTTTCTTGGTCCCTTGGGGCCTCTCTGCCCTGCGCTGGGAGGTGCTGGCCTGTGAGACCTTCTTGTCCACACAGGGCTTCACAGCAGGCCTCTTGTGCTCTCTGTCCTTACTCCTGTCTGTTTTCCGGACACCATCCTTGGGGCCAGGGGCCGGTGGCACCCCACTTTTCCTCTTCTTGGATCTTCCCTTCTTGTGGCTGCTGCACTCTTTCGAGGCCCTGGCTGGGGAGGAGCCAGGCTTGGCCGGGCATGCCCCATTAGGGTCCTTGGGAGGCTGCCCAAGGTCCCCCACGTCATACTGCACAGCTATCTCTTTGGTCTCCCGAAGGCCGCCCTCCTCAGGCTCCTGGCCCTCCCTGGAGCCTGGCTTGCCAGGACCCTTGCTCTCAGCTCCTGCCTTCGCCCTCAGGGGGTTGGCAGTGGCAGGCCTGTCCCCCGGAGCTGCCGTCGTGTCATCATCTGAGTCAGAGAATCTGGCATCGCAGCTGCCAAAGGGGTCGCAGGGCTTCTTGAGTGCGGGTGTGTAGGGCTCGCTGTTGGCACGGGAGCCCCGGGGTCGCTTAGGGGCCCGGTTATCCTTGGAGCCGGCCCTGCTGAGTAGCCGAGCGGAGAAGTTGGACAGTGGGTCATACTCCAGGTCAGTGGACGGCTTGGAGTTATCCACCACATACTTGCTGCTGGAGACTGGGCGGCTGTACCTTCTGGGCTGGCTCACGGCCTTGGGGATGTACTCCAGAGCACCACTGCCCCCTCCGCCACGGCCCTGCGCTGGGTCCAGGGAAGCCAGCAAGTACTTGCTGCCCAGCTCAGTAGGAGCGGCCAGTGGGGTGGGCTGGTAGCTAGCATTGGGGCTTAACAGGCTTTGGCCACCAGGGTTGTAATCAAAGGACAGGGGGAAGGCATCCTCATCCAGGCTGGTGGCAGGGCCGTGGGGTGCCAGGGCTGGGACCTCAGCAGAGACGTGCTCTCGGGCTGTCTCCAGGAGCTCCTGGTACCGCCGCTGCTCTATCTCCACCTCAGAGCGCACGGCCTCGATGGCCTGGTTGACCAGCTCCAGCTCCAGGATGTCTGAGTGGGGCTCGTCCCCTCCGCCCAGGACGCCGTTCTCCCTCTCTGCCGGGAGCTTGGGCAGCTCAGGGTTGTACGGGTCATAACCAAGCCCTGAAACAGGAAGAGGGAGGAAACAGTTGTGAGGGAGGCAACAACCAGCCACTGCCTTGACCCAGATAACTGGCCTTCCAGAACCTAGCAAGGGCCAGGTTCCAGCAGGCCTCCTGTGCTCTCCATCCTTACTCCTGTCTGTTTTCCGAACACCATCCTTGGGGCCAAGGTCCCACATCATACTGCACAGCTATCTCCTTGGAGGGCAGAGGGACCCAGTCCAGAGCGCCCCTCCATGCAGGCCCTACCGTGCAGAGGCTGATAAGTGGGGTGAGAGGTATAGAGCCCTGGCCCCAGAGACAGCCACAAGGTTAAGAGACCGCTTTTTAACCTTTTAACCTTAGTTTGGGCTCTGGGACAAAAACTGGAAGGGGTGAGACTTGACAGAGAAGATCCAGAAGCCGGGCAAGATGGTGATAAAGATTCCTACACAGTAGCTACCCCCACACTGCTTCCTGCATCCGGGAGTTGGAAGAATGATGAAGGGGCCTGACATCCAGGTAGGTCGTAAGGCACAAAGATGCTTGCAGGGTGGGATGGGAGTGGGTTCAGAGCTCCCTGACTCAGGGCTGAGGGTGGGAGGGGAGCAAAAACCAACAGGGTCTGAGGCATGCAAGACTCTCCCGCACGTCCCCCTGCAGGGCTGTGCCTGTACAGTGAGATGGAAACCACCGCTAAGGAGCACTAGGACAAAGGACACCCACACACTTTCAATGGCAAACAAGAGGCAGAAGGCAATCAATGGGGTGATCCCAAGGGTGTAAAAAGGAAGAAGTACACGCTCGAGTTCAGCATGACCCCATGGCCAACAGTGTTGGCACAAACCTCAGGACTCACTTATCGACGGAGGTAAAGACATCTTCAATGAAATAGGAGCAAATACAGCACATTTCAAGAAAGGAGTAACGTACATATTCAAATATACCAATCTTCCATAAATATTCCAGAGTTGAAAGTGTTCCTCACTAGGAATTCTATCAGATACAATTCGCAGGCATCACTAAAGAAAAAGCCAATGGAGTTGGTGTCCTGGGGTTGGAGAAAGACAACTGATTCTCCCAGAGCCAGCCCTGCCCAGACCTGGACTTAAGACTGTGCAGCCGAGTGTGGACTGCTGGCCTCCAGGACTGTCAGAGAACCAATCTGTGCTGTGGAAGGTACTCAGGGGGTGGTGACTTGTCATAGCAGCCCCAGGAAACCCACGTAACCTCATTCAGGGAGAAGTCCATGCGGCAGGCTGCCCACAGGGGACAGTGGCTGGGCCTGGGCTGCCCTTGGGGAGGGGATGAGGGAGGAATTTGTTGTAGATGTGTAGTCTGGCCTTTAGTTTGTGTTCTATTTTTGAAATTATATTCAGAAAGGTGAAAGGAACCATGTACCTATGCTTCAGATGACGGAGGACATGCCAGGTTTGGGGGGTGGGAGGTGGGAGGTAAAAGGACACAGGACTAGATGCCAGTGACAGAACAAGTTCCAAAGTCCCAGGGCTCTCCTCCGTGTGGGGAGTTCACAGTAGGAGATGTCACTTAGAACCTCCCTATCACAGTGAACGCTGGGGTGTAGGGATTTGGGGTTAAGACTCATAATCCTGCCCTAGCTGGTTTGGCTCAGTGGATAAAGCATCAGCCTGTGGATTGAAGGGTCACGGGTTCGATTCCAGTCAAGGGCTCGATCCCAATGGTGGGCGTGTAGGAGGCACCCAATCAATGGTTCTCTCTTATCATTGATGTTTCTATATCTTTCTTCCTCTCCCTTCCTCTATGAAATAAAAAATATGTATATTTAAAAAGAAAGAAGAAGAAAAAGACAATCTTCTACTTCCAGTGAGGGGCAAGGTAAAGGGACCATCCTGAGGAAAGGCTAGAGACCCCAGGAGTGGGATTAAAGTGCCCTCCCAGCCCACCCGAAACTCGGGATGGGCCCCTAAGCACCAAGGGCAGACCCACCCCAGCCCAGCACCAACTGCATAAACAGACTGCAGCCAATGTCCCCTTCCTCCCCCAAGTCCTGGCGCCAGCAGAGTGGAGGAGTCCAGGCCAAGGCCACCACCCAAGAGCCGGGGTCGCTCACTGGGCAGTTCCACAGAGGGATCTGTCAGGTTGCGCTCGTCTCTGGGGGGTCTCCAGCTCAGGTCACTTCGCCCCCTAACTTCCCTCCTTCAGCTAAGACGGCTCCTGCCCTCCTTGTGGGGAATGGAAGCAAGAGCCCACTGAATGGGAAGTCCTTCCCTCCCAGGACAGGTTGGCAGCACCAATGGAGGGGGTCAGGTCCCAAACAAAACCATTCCACAAAGGGTTCTCCCAGGTCAGGCCAGAATGCAGAGCCTGGGGATTTTCAGCCACTTTGGATTTGAACCAAAAGGGTTTCCCCCAAGGAGCCTATGCTTTGGAAGCCAGGCAGAGGAGGCACTGTGCCTGGGAGCAGGGGAGAAGGGTGGGGACCCTGCAAAGTTCCTCAGACCATCTGGTCTCACTGGCTCGGCTGGACCCAAGGCAGAGATCTGGCTTTCTCAATGGGAGCCTCTACTGGCATGTTTCCTAAGGGCCATTACACCTGCTCCACCCCCTCCTGTTTCCAGGAAGCCCATGAACTTGCTTGCAAGGTAGGAAGGGGAGCGCACTGGGCTCTGAGCACTCACTCTGAAGGGATGCAGTCCAGGCCCAAAGTGGGGCATTAGAGCCAGGTGGAAGCTGCCTCCCTGCTCCACCCACTGCACTGAAGAGCAAAAGAAACCTCCCAAGGCAAGCTTGGGTCAAGGCCCTGATCCTGCCCTTCTGGGGCCTCAGTTTCCCCACCGGTACCATAGGCTTACTGTAACCAGCCTGAAGAACTCTAGACAGATCTGGGAGCTTCCAGCACACCAAGGGTTTTGCTGTAGCCCTGAGGGCAGAGTCAGTCGTCGTCCCCCCCCCCCTCGGAGGCAGCCATCTCCAAGCTGCCCCTAGGTATCTGAGAGCTGGTGAGGAATAAAATACAGAAGGTACTTGTTCAGGACATCTAGTCCCTGCCCCACCTGCCTTGGGGGCTAGAGGAAGCCAGGTCCCTCAGGACACCTGTCAGAACTAGAGAAGCTCCCAAGAAAATGTTTGCCAGCTGCCTGATGCTCTGGGGGCCCTCTCAGCCCACTGGTGGGGGCAGTCAGAAGGCAACTCAGGCCGAAACCGGTTTGGCTCAGTGGACAGTGTCGGCCTACGAACTGAAAGGTGCCAGGTTCAATTCTGGTCAAGGGCATGTACCTTGGTTGCCCAAGAGGGGGTGTGCAGGAGGCAGCTGGTCGATGTTTCTAACTCTCTCTCTCTCCCCCTTCCTCTCTGTAAAAAATCAATAAAACATTTTTTTTTTTAAAGAAGGCAACTCAACAGGTGACCTTGAGGTTGGGAAGGGCCATAGGCACCTTGGAAGAGGTCCTCCAATTATTGGGAATTAATTTGGGTGGAAGGCAAAATCTCTCCTTTGAGGGTTCACACCAGTAAGCATGCCTCTAGTAAACAAGATTAATTGGGCTGTTTTTCAGAAAAGGGAGCAATCTGGGAATAACTAGAAGGAAAAAAAAAAAAAAGAAAAAGCCTGGCTGAAGGAATTACACTCTGAGAAGTCAGACCCCCAGACCTGGTTCCTGCCCTACTCCAGGGCAAGGGAGGGGCTGGCTGCTGCCTAGCTCCTGGAACACCCGTGAGGTGAAGAGCCTGCCTGGTGCTCACTTGAGAGATGTCCCTTGGGAAGGCCCCTCACTGGGTCAGGGAGAGAGAAAGATGGGGAGCCCGAGGCCTCTTCCAGCCCCACAGCTCACCTTCCTCTGGTCACTTGTGTTGGGCTCTGTGCGCCCAGCACCGCACCCCCAGAGCGTCTGGCCCAGCTGAAGGAGAGCGCGTGGGGCTGCCCTCCTGGATCCAGCACCAGGGTGGCTCCCTTAGCGACCTTGACCCCCTCGGACTCTGGTCCTGTTTCTGGGTCAGGCACCTAGCCTGGCAGAGATCAGGCCTCTTCCCCCTCTTCTGGGGCCATGGGACACTGGATGGGAGATGGACAGGCCGGGGCGTGGGGAAGGGGAGGGAAGGTAGGGGGGGGGCGTTGCAGGGAGGCGGGTAGAACACCGCTGACCACTGAACCCTGACAGGTTGACGCACAAACAAGTCAGGTACAGGCCTTTCCCAGTCCTGGCTCCAAATCTTTCCTACCCCTCCAGATCTTTCCTCCGCACAAAAACGCTTCCCCGCTCTGGACTTATTCACCCTCTGCTCCTCCCTGCTCCCACCACACCCTCCATTCCAGAAAAAACAGGCACCCTTCCCTAACTGCTGCACAGAATCAATGACAAGACATGGAGTGGACTCCACTCGGGGAGGATGTGACCCCACTGTCTCTGGCTTCTGAAAGCCCAGCCAGCTCCCACCCCTCCTCACCCTAGTCTGCCCACGGACTGAAGGTAAGTGCGGGACTGCACAGCGGTTCCCCCAGCTTCAAACCTGGTAAGATGTCAGCAGGGACTCCTCCAACCCAGGTGGCAGTCACAGCCTGTTGATTTGCCCTCCCACCGTCAGCGGAAGTACTGGGGACATCAGGAGATACAGTCCCTGCCGCACAGGAGATAAGCGGAGACACAGGACTAGTCATGGTGGAACTAGACCCTTCTTGAATGGCAGAGGCCTTGAGGTGGAGCCAGAAGACCCAGGACCTTCAAGGCTGCAGTGGCAGAATAGGCGCAGGGGGAGGCCAAGGGCTCAGGGTCAGAGTACTCCACACTTGGGGCTTTTCTGGAAAGTGGAATCTGGCAGACAGTACCCTCGAAGGCTATGCCCACTGGAGGGCCACCCAGTTCCTTAGAGGGCTGGCCGCCACTCCTTCCCCACAATCCCAGTCTCTCTACTCCTGGTCCCCCTACTTCTGGACAATGGGCCACTCCAATGGACAGGCCAGGAGCCTGAAGCCTAGGGGTGACTCACATTCTGAACCAGAGGCGAGGCCCCCATATTGCCCACTGTACCCTGGGGAGGGAACAAGGAGGCCACCGGGAATGTGCTCCCAGATATACATGGGGGACATCCAGGACATGCCCCTGCTAAGGCTGGCTGCATCTAGAAGAACAGGTCTGGGGTCCTTCTCCCCACTTGGCAGGGACCACATACCTGCCTCTGGGGCTGGTAACACTGGGAGAGTTGGGACACTGGTTAGAGGCCCAGACCTTGGACAGCCTCAACTAGCACCCCTCAGCCCTAGGGAAATAGTGCAAAGCCAGGGCCTCCAAGCAGTTGTCACCACACTGCCAGCTCCAGAGGAAGGAAAGGAGGGCCCCGGCCAAGCCAGGGACCAGCACAAAACCCATCTCTGTATCCCTAGAGCCACCCTGGCACCAGTCATTACACTGGCGGCCGGACCACCCTGCTCCCCAAATCTGGATCCGGGTCCAGGCTGCTTAGCCCCAGATCCTAACGACAGGCTATGCTTCAAAATATGCAAAATACATGACAGCATAAAAACTCAAGGACAGAACCAGACGGTGGGCCGCAAGGGCAGGCAGGCACCCTGGGGTGGGTGAAAGGCATCCCTTTCTCCTGCCGTGTCCGTCCTCACAGTCCGTGACAGCACGAATCACTTCAGTGAGCCCAATAAAGAAAGCTTCAAAATAGAGTGCTTTTTGGGGAAAACATGGGACACATGGTTCTTTCCAATGGTGATTCTGGGGTACCCTCCTCTACTGTGCAGGCTCCCAGGAGCGCCCGCCCCAACAGTGACCTAGCAACTCCAAGCACCTTCACATTCTGAGTGAAGACGGGAAGGCACATCCTAGTCAGGGGAGACGGAGGCTGCACTCCCATAGGCAGTCACAGGACGTGGGGCCAAGACGAGTCGGGTGCCAGCTGCAGCCCCTAAGAAAGAGAGTCCACACACAGGGGTTACACATGAGCACAGTGGCTTTTATTACTTGACTCTGCAGGCAGGTGCTGGGGAGGGGGTGACAGGGCCGGCTCCTGAAACAGAGCCCACACCGCTGCTCTGTGAAGGCCTCTTGGGCTACGCTCCCACAGGGTACACCAGTCTCTCCAGACAAGCAACTGTGATACGTGACTGCCAAGTAGGTGGGACAGAACTGGCCTCTAGGACACAGAGGGACTAGTATCACCAGGATGTGCCTGGAGTGAATGTGGTCCAGGGCCTCCAGACACACCCTCCCATCAGCTTCCAGGTCTGCCGCCTCTATCCAGCAGCTCAACACACTGACCCCCTGACCAGTACAAATGTCTGCAAAGGTCTGTGGGATGGATAACTGAATGGAATACCAGCCAAGAGCCACAGGCCCCTCAGTGCCTGTAACATGTCCATTCCTGAGGACACAGGCCTCTATGGTGATCAGAAGAAAAGTCCCTTCAGGATAGACAGTTACCAGCAGCCACACAGCAAAATTAACTGGCTCTGAGTCCCCCCATAGCCCCGTCTTTGGGGCGGAGTGGCTGGACCGCGGTGGCACTCCCAGGGCGTGTGCTAGAAAAGGACAAGTTACAAGTCAGTGCATCAGTGGGGACCCCTGCCAGGCCTGTCAGGGATGGTAATGGTGCTGGGGGATCCTGATACCTCCAAACCAGAGCATAAGAGCATCCCAGGTCCTCCAGTGTGCTGTTTCCTCGTCTAGAATCCTGGATTGCTGCCTGCCTCCCAACCTGCTTCCAATACCAGGTAATACTCCTACTCATCCCTCAAGGCCCAGCTCAGAAACCACATGCACAGGGACACATGCCCGACTTCCCTACAATCCCACGTGCCAGGTGCTCTCCTGGGTCCCAGCCCACATCTGTTATGCTGGATACGCCTCCTTTGCTTCCAGAGCGTGGTTCCCAGATACTGCTGAATTCACACAGACCTGGAGAAGCCCTTTTGGGGGTCCCAGGGCCAGCTCCTGATCTTACAGATGGCCTGCATGTGTGGGTCCAGGGCACGGCCAAGCTTGCGAAACGACCAAGTCCCACCCATCAGCTTCCCATCCTATTCTCCTTCGGCAACCAAAGCAGCAAGCAGGAAAGCACTTCCCCTATGAATGCTTCTCGGCTTTCTATCCTGCCTTCTACCTGAGGCTCTGCTGACAGGCACTCCCCAGAGCTGTCCCCAGAAAACCTAGTGCCCCAAAGCCACAGGACCAATCTCCCCCACACTGCCTGCAGGGACTCCCGAGGATCTGGCCATCACAGAGGAGGAAGGTGACGGGAAACGCCTCCGTGAGTCAGTCAGTCTGCCCAGTCTGGCCTCTCAGTTCCCACGTTTCATTTCTGTCTGTGTTCCATTCTCTGTCGTAAACCAGACCACACCAGCCAGGCTCCACCTGCTGCTCAAAGAATAACACCCACCACTCAGGTTAAAAAACATCTGATGGAAATTATTTTGTAAAGGGGATTCTGAGGTGGGGTGGGGGTGGAGGAAGGCCAAAAAGCAGGAGAAAGGGTTTCTGCAGCAGCTCAGGAGTATCAGACAGAGAGGATGCGGCGCTGCTTTTTGTTGAGATCTAGTTTACAGAAAAGATGACTGAGGCAAATAACACTAAGCCCCCTCCCTGTCTGGCTTTTTGCACAATAGAAAGTGAAGCCAAAATGCCTTCACTTGCCAAAACCAGTTTGGCTCAGTGGATAGAGCGTCAGCCTGCGGACTGAAGGGTCCCAGGTTCGATTCTGGTCAAGGGCATGTACCTTGGTTGCGGGCACATCCCCAATAGGGAGTGTGCAGGAGGCAGCTGGTCGATGATTCTCTCATCGATGTTTCCAACTCTCTATCCCTCTGTAAAAAATCAATATAATATATATATATTTTTTAAATGCCTTCACTTGAGTGCCACACCCAAGCCCCTCAACAGCGGTGGTCCCCCGACCCCATCCAGGGTTCTTGAGCTCCTGTGCCGTTAGCCTCTGGGCCTAAGGAGCTAAGGGAGGTGGTGCTTTTCAGGATCTGCCATTCCCATAGGCCTTGGCTAGCTCCCCCATCACATTCCCAAAATATACAACAGGTCAGTGCTAGGACACTGATCACATTGGTACCATCTGTGTGTGTAGGGAAAGGGACCATCCTGGGCACTGTGGGGTATTGGGGAGCATCCTTGGCCCCCACCCACTCAATGCTAGAAACACCCAGTCATGACAATCACAGATGTGCCCAGACATTGCCCAGTGTCCCCTTGGCGGAAGCGGAGGGGGAAGTGACTCGTTCAGGTACTGCACAGGTAGCATGCACACTCTGCATGACACATCCATGTCCCCCCTAATGCAGCCACCTTCCCTGGCCTCTCCATAGATCCCACTTACTCACCACCCACTTCTGGCAAGCCTGGGCCCAGAGCACTCTGCTCTCCGGACCACTAAGCAAAGAATCCCAAAATACGCACACCTGGATCAGGCAAGAGGCAGGTCTTTACAGATCCTAGGCCATCCGGAGGAACCACCTCAGGATAAATAGAACCCAACTTAATCAGTGTGGCAGGATCACAACTTTGGTAAAAAGACACAATGCCTTTGTTTTTAAGGCTGGGAGGAAAAAGAGCAAGCTGGCCGGTTTGGGGGGGGGGGGGGGGATTAGGGCAACATACAAAACAACTTGTACCATCTTGATTTTTTTGTACTCTCCAGTGTTACTTAAACGAACATTACTCGCCGAAACCGGTTTGGCTCAGTGGATAGAGCGTCAGTCTGCGGACTGAAGGGTCCCAGGTTTGATTCTGGTCAAGGGCATGTACCTTGGTTGTGGGCACATCTCCAGTAGGGGGTATGCAGGAGGCAGCTGGTCAATGTTTCTAACTCTCTATCCCTCTCTCTTCCTCTCTGTAAAAAATCAATAAAATATATATTTTTTTAAAAAACTGATTGAATGGAAGGGCCTGTGTGAGGATGAACCAGTGATACGGGTAGTGTGAGAAGTGAACTCAGTACTGGTGACAAGTACAAAAAGGACTGCTTTGACAGTTCGCAGCACCCTCACTTCTACTCCCATCTTTGCAGAAACATCAGGAACAATAGAAGCACCCACCCTGTGCCGCAGAGAAGGCTCCTCCTCTGGAGGCCTCCAGCTTCAATCCCAGGCACCTGGTGGCCCCAGCTCCCTGGGGGGCTGGAGCCACACGTGGGCGCACAGCTTCCAGGGAGGAGCTCAGAGATAAAAATGGCCTCGGCAAGAAAAGAAATAACGTATGGCCAGAGGTTATTAATGTCTCTGCTCACATCTCACACCTCCTGACCTACAAGAAGCCCTGCCAGATCCCTCGCAGCTCTCACCAAACTCTGCCATGACACTGACAATCGCCATGATATCTAAAGAGAAGCAAGTCCATTAACATTCTCTGCTCAACCCAAAGCAGGTCATTCCTTGGAAGCCTGTGTCTCCCCCTCCCACCCACCCACCCCTCTCCAGGTCTTGTCAAGTTGGTTTTGACTTATTCCCTGTAGTTTCGTCTGACAAAGCGGCTTTACACACAGTAGGTGCTCTTAATGAGGGCGCAGCTGGGGAATCGGTACGGAAATAAACAAGGACTGCCACAACACGAGGTCCCCCTCCCCAGGAGCTCAGACGCTCATTAGGGCAGGAATCCAGGGCCCGCCAACCAGTGTCAGCTCGCTCGCTTCCCGACCCCCCCCCCCCCCCGTTATCTCACTCCACCCTCGCGACACCCCTAGGAGGTCATGTTCTCCCATTGTTTACATTTTATACTGGGTGTAAACAGAGGCTTACAGAGGTCCCGCTACTTGTACCGGGCCCCGAGGAGGGTGGTCCCGGTCCTGGCTGGAGGAACGTTGCCCGCAAGTGTGGGGAGGGGGCTGGGCTGCAACTGGGGGGCCGGGGGAGCACCTGCGGTGGAGTTCAGGTCCGGGCCCGGAAGCCTGGCCCGCGGCGGACGAGCGGGCGGGCATTACCTGCTGCGGGGGGCGCCGCTCCGCCGCCGCCGGGCGCGCCCGGGCCCCGGGCCCCGCGGTGCCGGAAGTGGCAGTAGGGCCGCCGGCAAGGACCCCCGGGCGCCCCAGACCAATAGGGACAGTCGATGGCCCGGAAGAAGCCGGTGGAGCGTAGCATGGTCCGTCCCGTGGGGAGGCCCCAGCCCGGAGCCGCCCTCGTCCCCGGGACCCTCACTGGCGCCGCGGTCGCCTCCGCCCGCGCTTCACAGACCCCGACGCCGCCATCTTGCTCCGAGGCCCCCAGAGGCCCTCGGATGCTGCCGTAAAGTTCCGGGGGAAGCGGCTGTCCACAGCGTGCCGGATCAGAAACTCCTGACCTCGCGGAATCGAGGCGGGTCGTGAGCCCCTGGGTCGAGACAGGCAGGCGTGAGAGATGGAGTAGAGGGTGCAGACTGTTCTGCCTGAGGCCTCCGGGAGCCTCGCCGGCGCCGCCACCCGGTCTTCAGTGGCGGCTGTAGCGCCATCTTGAGCCCAAGGTCCCTTCGGCGTCTGAGCTGTCCACGGCGCGCCTGACGAGAAGAGCCCCCCCCCCCAAGGCCCGCCTATGGCTCATTTGCGTTTTATTTGCGTCATTAGCATGTCCTTTTAAAGCGCCCTCTGCTGGAAAAGATGAGTCCTACACCTAGCAACCCCAGTGCTTCAGTTATTCCATGCTCACTCACCTCCGCCCTGGTATACAGTTGGTTCGCAGTAGTGCTTAATTTCTCCCACCTGTATTCATGTCAGCAATCTAATCCCCAGGCCCAGAGGGGTCCTGTTTTCACTCATTAATTTTTCCACCAAATACTGAGCACCTGCTCTACGCCAGCTGCTATAGATGCTATGCTGAACCGTATTTTGTTTAGCCGTTAATCCGATGATGGACATTTGGGTTGTTTCCACCTTTGTCTATTGGGAAGTGTGCTGCTGTGAACACAGAGGTAGGTATATTTGATTATCATTTTGTTTCAGTACTAGTGTTTTAAACGATGGAAAGTTGTTGCCCATGTTTAGAACTTGGAGAGATGTCATATAAAAACTGCAATCTCACCCTCTCTTTGAACCGTTGGCTACCCTGGGCCCACCAGATGGCAATTGCCAAGCAACCCCTGTGAACAGGGTGGGGAGGTCTGTGCAGGTCCCCTCTCTCCCAGCCCACCTCTCCCCTTACTCCAGCTAACTGGCATTGAGGGCATTTGAGCTTGAGACCCCTCACCCAGGGGTCTCTCACACCTCTCCACCAACAACAGAAGGGTTGATGTAGTCCTGACAATGCTAGTGAGGTGAAATAAGTGCTCACACTCATCAGTGCTCCATTCATCCTCAAGGGCCTTGGCCATTCATTCCACAAATGTTTACCAAGTATCTACTCCACACCAGCCAGACACAGTGCTAGAAAATCGGTGGACAAAGCAGAGACCCCCTACCCTGATGGAGGAAGACAGACACAGGACATTTAGGAAATAAGTAAATGAGATAGCGTGATTCAAGGCAGGAAGTGCTGGATTGGGGGGAGAACAGGGTAAGGCTGGGAAAAGAAGATAGTCCTATGGGGAAAGTGGGATTTGAGCAGTCCTGAGGAAGGTAAAGAGGAGCCAAGCAGACATCTAGGGCAAGAGCATTCCAAGTGGAGAGCACAGCACGTGCAAAGGCCCTGGGACAGGTCTGTGCCTGGCATGCTGGAGGGAAAGTGTGGAGGAAGTTCTGTATGGCTGAAGCACAGTGAGCAAGGAGGAAAGAGAAGAGGTGAGAGCAGAGAGGGAAGGGGGTGGGATGGGGCAGGACCTTTTGGGCCTCGGGGAGAACTTGGGCTTTCATCCTGAGGAATGAGAGAACCCTGGAGAGCTGTGCAGAGGAGGGGTGGTGCCTCAGATGTTCACACGTGCTGGCTGCTGTGGGAAAACTGTCAGGATATGGGCAAAGGCAGGACCTGTCTCAGGCGCTCGCTTGCGCCCTCTGGTGGAGACCATGAGGACAGACTGGTGTGGACCACGATGGAGGTCAGGGGGTGCCGTTGGCACACAGGGGAACCTGAGCAGAGCGGGGGCAGTGGCTGCGTGCCAATGGAGGGTCCAGAAGGCAGGAGGGGACGTCTAGCTGTCTCCAGGGCATGTGGGAGTGTGCCAAGGGGAGACTGAGGGAGGGGTTGTCCCCATGGAGCCTGCTTTCGAGGAACTCTGCCACAAAACGACAGGGAAGCCTGCCAGAGGGGACAGGGGTCCAGGGAGTGATGTCGGAGGTCTTTCTGCGCAGAATCCGATGGAAGGAGAACATGGGTGGAACAAGATGGAGGGGGTGCAAGGAGGAGGCTGTCCTCAAATAAAGGTGAGAGCCGACGCTCAGAACAGGGGCGACTCTGGCAGCCACACAAGGACAAGACCCCAAGGAAAGCTGGATGGGAGCCCAGTGCCAGGGAGCCCTCCCCCACCTACACCCCCCAAGGGTATGCACCCACAGCCCTCCCTCAGGACTTTGGAGGCTGCCTGAATCTGGGATGCCTTTTTCCGAGGAGGGGGTTCAAAGTTCACACCAGCTTCTCAATGCTCCAAGGCATGGTAGTCTCCCTCCCTATGCCCCTCATCCCCGCCTTCCTCCCAACTGGGAGCATACAGTAAGCACACAATGTAGGAGCTGCCCGGAGCCAGCACAGGAGCCCTGAGAGCCGGGCTCTCCCCGCCCCACCCCCGTGCTGTCACTGCGCCTCGGTAGCCGGGTAACGGGGCGGGAGGTGGGCGACGGTGGCAGCTGCAAGAGGCGTGGGTGACGCTAGGCGGCAGCGTGTCCTGCTGCAGGCAGCCTCCTGCCTCCCGGAGACTAAGGCTGCGGGTGTTATTTCGTGTCCCAGCCACCGTGGGCTTGCCAAGACCCCCACCGATTCTCTGCATTCACTAGCCCTCTGTCTCGTTTCCCCAAAAGGTTGGTGACCTTGAGGCCACACTAGTGAGTGAGGCAGAGACCACCTGCTGGGGGCCAGCAGTGGGAAAAACCACACTGGCTCTGAGCTGGGTTTAAAAAACGTCTTGTTTAATTAAATACAAGGGTAAGGTCGGACAGGGCAAGGGAGAGGGTTCCCACCAGAGAAAGCACAAGTCCCTAGAGATGCTACCCTCACCCCCATCCCCCCGTGAAAGGCCACAGCTACCACTGGCCCCTTGGAGGAGGGGGCATGGGTCTCTCCAGGCCCCTCAACAGGGGCCGGACATCAGAGTTCTCAGCTTCCTGGGCCCCGAAGCCCACCGTGGACAGGCACCGGCCAGGCCTAGGACATCTAGGGAACATCCACACGGACACAAAGGTGAATGGGACACACCCCTCTGCCCTCAGGACAAGGGCATTCCCCTCTGGGAGAGCAGGCCTGAGGGCAGATGGGCCTGCCCGTAGGCTGAACCTGCAGACAGACCCTCCGCAGCCCAGCTCCAAGAGGACCTGCCGCACCCACCCCTGGATCCTGCCAGGCTGAGGGTCCACTCCACAACGGTGCCATCCAACCGCTCACCAGGACACAGGAAGGCTCTGGAATAAATGCAGATGCCCCAAACCTCCCGCAGCCAATAGGGGGAGGGGATGGCAGACAAGCCCTTTTGGGGTCTGGGAGCAGGGAGCCTGGGTCCCTTCCCACTCCAGAGCAGGGGGGCTGGGTCCTCAGTCCCTTGGTCCAAAATGAAATCTAACCAGCTTCACCGGAGGACATGGCATCCACCCCTCCACCCCAAGTTAGGTCACGACGACCCCCCCCTCACCTTCTCCTGAGGACGACAGACCACCCTCCGTGGCCCTGATCAAAAGAGACTGGCGCCTGAAAAAATATTCTACCCGGTCCAAACACACACACACAACCCAGCTTCTCCTAGGGGGGTCGGGGCCAGTCCTCCTGCCTCCTATCCTTGTGGGCGGCCGCGGGTCCAGGCCCGGCAGCCCAGGGGGACATGCAGCGAGGGGCAGGCTGGAGCCAGGGCTCCCACCGCCACCTGCAGGGTGGGGAGGGGTGCATTGAGCCCAGCTGCCGTCTGGTCCCCGAAGGGAGGGAATGATTGTCACGTGATGCTGTGGAAGGCCAAAGTCGGGAGCAGGGAGCAGCTGCGGCACCAGCTTCTCACGTACACGGACACACTGCACCCACCCCGGGGGGCAGGACGGCACCCCAGCCAGCAGAGGCAAGAAAATAAATAAGCCAGCATTCACTCCATCCCCACGTCCACATCCCCCCAAAGTGAGGCAAATGCTCTTTGGAAGAACCCTGTTCCTCTCCCACCCTCCCCTGTATCTCAGAAGCAAAACCCAGACCCTTCGGTTACCCACCCCCTCCCGCTGCCCACCTGCCCCCCATGGGCAGTGGGGCAGAACCTGTTAACACCTGAGATCGAATACCCGAGTGGGGGACGGCTGGGCCGCACCCCATTTCCCTGAACATCTCCAATGGCTTTCCACGGGGTGAGGAGCCCCAGGCGGGCGTGCGGGGGCAGGTGTGCCCTCAGTCACCCCTGGATCCTCTATGGCTCTTTGCTCACTTCTTCCCAATCTAGAGTGGGGCCTGGGGCTGATTCCAAGCACTGGGCGGGGCGGGGGGTACCTTTCCTGGCCCCCCTCCACACACATATCCCCCCCCAAGCAGGGAAGTGGCAAAGGGGAGAGGGGAGCACCTGCCAGCCACCCACGGGGGGTCCCAGTTGAGCAGACGGGAAGAATCATAGGTCGTGGCTATTTACAAACACGGGCCCCAGCCACCCGTGGTGGGGGGCATATCCCAAAGGTCCAGCTGACCCCAGTCTCGTCTCAGGCCCCCTCCTCGCCTTCTCGAGGGGACCAGAGGCGTCAGGGCCCTCGGGGGCGGGGGGACGCTGGAAGGATGCCTGGACTGCAGGCATGTTGCTGGTGCTCTGGGCGGGGTGAGATCCAGGCGGGCTGGGTGGGCCCTACAGGCCGGCGGGGGCCGGGCTGGGGGCCGGGCTGGGCGCGGGGCTGCCCGCCAGGCTGCAGGGCAGGGAGTCGCTGGGTGAGGTGCTGCGGGCGCCGGGGCGGCGGAGCAGTTCTGGGCGGAAGCCGGGGTGGCGGCGGGCGTGCTTGGTGAGGTGGTCGCTGCGGGTGAAGCGCTTGGAGCAGAGCGGGCAGGGGAAGCGCTTCTCGCCGGTGTGCGTCCGGTGGTGGCGGGCCAGCTCGTCCGAGCGCGCGAACTTCTTGTCGCAGCCCGGCCAGTCGCAGGCGAAGGGGCGCTCACCTGGGTGGACGAGACAGCAGAGGTAGAGAGACAGCTGTCAGTGCACTGAGGTGGGACACACACACACACACACACACACACACACACACACGACACACGTCCCCATCATTTGTCTCTTCCCCGCCCCCTCGTTCTAGAGGCTGGATTCTGGGTGTGAATGTGAACCGTGTAAATGCAAAAAACAAAGGACCCCACTCAGTTCACAAACCCCTAACGGATATCCTCGTCCCTGGCTTCCTGGGAGCTTGCAGTAACTCTCCATCAGCTAAAAGTAAAGCCCACGGGGACTGGCTTCTACCAGCCCCCGCACCCTCCTGCCAGCCCCACCGTGGCGCCCAGGTGTGTATCTGCCACACAAGTGCAGGCTCAGGCGCACGCTGGGTTCCCGGAGGGGCTTCTCTTCATACAGACTGGCCTCCCCGTCCCCACCCTCACCCCCCTCTGTTTGGGGATTCAAGGTGTGAGCGACCACAGTTCACTTCCCTCCTTTTGGAAAGGACCACCCAAGTGCAAAGTGGTAACATCATCCAGGCACCCAGCCCTCGGCTGACCTCCGTGGCCCCCTTGTGTGCAGACGGACATGTGGAGGGCCATCCTGGGTCAGCTGCATCCCTGCCTCCTTAGGTCCCCAATGCAGGTCCCACCTCGGGGAAGGGATGGGTGGCAGGGGCATAGGTGAGTCCCCACCCTGCAACTTCCTCTGAAGACCATCCCCCTGCCCAAGCAGACCTCACCCATCCTGCCCACCCCCTACCCAAGCCCCACCCCATACAACCCCGTCTGGGGGTCTCCGCTGCCCCACAACCATGCCGCACCCCACCCCCAGAGTCTCAAAGTCTCAACTGCCATCGTCTCCCAGCCGGAGGGGGAGACAGGGGCCAGCCTGGACCTCCACACACCCAAGGCCAAAGGGCCGGGCATCTGGCCCCTGAGATGCCCCCGGGCACTGCTCGCCTGATGCCCAGAAGTTCTGAAGTGTGAGTGGGCTTGTGTACACAGAATGTGGATATGTGGGGGTTGGGGGTGGGGGACAGGGGCACAGCCTGGTCAGGGGTTGCCTCCTGAGTTACACACTAAAAGGCTTCCTCTGGACACTCCAGTGACCGGGGCTGACCCTTTTTCTGGGAACACGCCCACCGGTGGGGGGCAGGTGGTGGGGAGACAGGCAGGAGAGGGTCCTCGGCCTGGGTCAGGCAAGACTCCCAAAGCAGGACCCCATGGTGAGGGACACAGAAGACGGAGATGACCAGGAGACAGCAGGAAGGACCACAGGACAGACCTGCAGCATTTTCAGGGTGACCTGCCCGGGGGGAAAGAGCGTGGTGGGGACACCAGTGGACTCCCCAGGGGCTCAGCCATCACCGGGCCCAGGAAACAGCTGTATGAAGCCTTCCCTCCCCCTCCCTTCCTCCAGGCTACACATGGACACCCCAGCATGACAGGAGAGGGGGGTCAGAAGCCTCACAGGCCCCCAGCAGGGTTCTTGTGGGGGACGTGCCGGTCCTGCTCACAGCTAGAGGAGGGCGGTCCCCAGGAGGATGTGAACCCAGGTGTCTGGAAGGGGTCCTAGTGCCACCTTCCCCGGGGAGGGGCAGAGGGGAGAGCGAGACTGTCCCCAAGACCGCAGGCAGTGAGAATCCCCGGGGCTGTCCCCTCACACCCCACGCCTCCCCACACCATCCACGGGCGGGTGGGCCGGCCGCGGCAGCTGGGGGAGGAGCCGCAGCGGGAACGTCCTCTACAGGATCAGGGGCTCAAGAGTCCGGAAAGGATCCCACCCTCACCTCCGCGGCGGCGACCCTGAGGGTGGACCTGGGGGAGGGAGGGCTGCTGGCTCTGGGCTGGGCCTGGGCGCCCCTCCGAGGGACACACAGTCGTGTAGCCATCTTGCAGGGCACGGAGGGAGAGCAGAGGGAGAGGGGCGGAGTCCTCTCGCGGCTTCGGTGGCCGCAGGAGGCTCACTTCCCCATTGAGGGCCCTGGGGCTGGTCCCCACCTTCACCCCTCCACCCGGCAGCTCCACCTTCAGAGCCGGGGGCATGGGTGGCCGCCGCGCCAGCCGGGACAGCACACGGCTCCCTGGCGTGGGGACATCCCCGGCCCCAGCCCTCGCTGCTCACGTGGCCCCGCCCGCACCATGTTGGGCAGGTGCCTGCCAAGGTGCCAGGCCCTGCCACCCTCTCACAGTCCGGGAAAGGGGGGACATTTAGAGACTCGGGGCCAGTGAGAGCCCCAGATATGGCCAGCTGGCTGCCCCAGGCATCCTGGCTTGAGCGGGTACTAGAGAACATGCCAAGCCGTGGGTAAGGCCAGGGCGGGCTTAACCCTGTGATCGGCTGGGCCACGGCGAACTAGGGACAGCCAGGAACCAACACCGGGCATCCGGATGGTCTCCCCCCACCCTGCAGGTGCCCGGCCCCACCCCCACCCGCCCCCTTTCCTGGCTTTTAAACCTTTGTGCTCAGCGTCTCCTGGGGGTGATGCTGCTCCCCGCCCCCGACCTGGTATGCCCAGGACATCTCTGGAAAGAGTCCACAGACCCAGAGACTCAGGCTCGGCCTTCTGGCTCGAGTTAGGCAGCAGCTAGCACATTTGCCCACCCTCTCTCCCATGTACCCGCCACCCCAGGGTGCAGCTAGGACTACTCCCACTTATGTAAAATGATGGTCATCTGCAGTCCCTCCCTGTCCCTCTCCTCCCGCCTGGAGGACCCAGGCTGCCCCAGCTCACTTCCTAACCAGACTGGCACCTTTGGCATAAAGCGGGGCTCTTGGGGCTGGAGGTGAGGAGGCACAGCTCCCACAGCTCCCCTCCCCCCCCCAAAGTGTGTGTGTGAGTGTGTGTGAATGTGTGTGTGTGTGTCAATGGGCAAAGGCGATCCACCCAGCCCCCCTCCCTCCCTGGGAGGCCAGCTCCTCACTGCCGTATCATTTGCCCAATGCCTGGCCATCTGGGCCAGCTTTATCAGGGAGCCTGGGTGGTGGGTGGTTATCACCCCCTGCAATGTTGGGGGCCCTCCCCCACCCCCCAGCTGGGGCACAGGCATCTGAAGCCAGTTCCAGCTGCTCCCTGCACCCCTGCCCACTGGAGGAGGAGAGGAGGTGGGGAGGCAGCTCCTGGGGAACCATGCCCTGCTCAGGCCTAGCAATGACCCCGGCCTAACCCCAGATAAGCCACCAGTCTCCTGAGCCCCACCTGGCCTTAAGAGAGCTCCAGCTCTGAGGGGGGGGGGGGGAATGCTACTACCCCTCCAGGCCTCAGTTTCCCCATCTGCCTCTCCTCCGGGGGGCCTCTTCGGCAAACTATAATTATCACCGCCACCCTGCCACCTTGGGCTGTGGGATCGGAAGATTGGAGGGTCACTCTAGCCCCTGTCCCCCACATCCTGAGGCTTCCCCCTCCTCCCCAATTCATAAATCAGCCCTCCCCTCCCCGGCCATATAGTGGCCTGGCTCCTCCACCCCTAATCCCTTCTCTGTAATCGGATTTTCCTCTGCAAAACCCAGCTCTGCCCCGGTCCCCACCCCGGCGGTCCCCCACCCTGCCCTTAGGATTAAATGAAACCCTGAGGCTGCTCTTCCCCCTCCTCACCTCACACGAAGTCTCCTCAAAGCCACACCCAGTGCCCCTGCCCCCCTCCGGCAATCAGGGTGCTGTCCCCTCTCCTGGGACACACCCCTCCCTGCCCCACCTGATCCCCGGGGTTCAGGTTTCTACCGAGAAGCCTCTGGTTCCAAGGAAGCCTTTTCCTCCATCAACCCCCACGGTTCTGGGTCCCAGGGGGCCAGTACCTTGCTCAGAGTAGGTGCTCAGCTACTATTTATCAGACTAAGGTAGACAGGGTTTTAGGGGGAGGAGGGGTCTCAACTGGAGGTGATCCTGAACCCCCACTCCATGGGACACTGGGCAATATCAGGAACATCTCCATTGTCATGACGGGGGAGAGCTCCTGGCACCCGTGGGGGGAGGCCCAGGGGAGCTGAGCCCCGAGGCACACATGGCTGCCTGCCCGCTGGGCACTGGGGGGCGCAGACAGGGGAGCCCTCTGGAGATGAGGGAGGCTGGGAGAGCATAGACAGCCAGCCTTTCCTCCCGCCCCCGCCCCATCTCCCTGCTCGCACTCTTGTATCCACAGCAACCGCAGTCAACATTTCCCGCAGCTTCCAAAGTCCTTGCCCGCCCCACGCAGCGCGAGAGCTCTGTGCTGGGCCGGGGGCTGCAGGCAGGGCACAGGAGACCACAGGGCAGCCCGCTCTGCTCCCTGTGGTCTCCTCTGGCCTCCCCAGGCCCCCTCTGGCCTCTGCACCGCCCCCATGCACCAGGATGATGGGGGCACCACACTCCCTCCATGCCTGTCTGCTCATCTGTACAGTAAGGCTAGATCAGGATTGGCATTGCCGTTACAGGGAGAACATACCTCAGGCAAGGTGGGTAGGGGCAGGAGTCTCTCCCAAGGGCCCTTGGGAGGTCGGCTCAGCAGACAGCTAGCTCTAATTATTCTGTTCCCAGCCTTGGGACACCAGGATAAGCATGGATTCCCCAACCCCAAGCAAGCTCCCAGCAGCTGCCTGTCCAATGAGGGCCAGGAAAGCCAAAAGGCCTTCACACAGACTCCAGCAGGGCTTGGTGATCCTGGGAGTCAAGGAGACACTGAACATGCAACCATTAAGCACACAAGTGTCCAAAACCCTTGAGAAACGGGACCAAGGGCCACCTGCCAAATGGGCCCAGGAGCTGCGCCCCACTAGATCCTTGCACTGTTGTTAAAACACAGCTCCAAGACGGGACGTCAGCTCCCACAGGGCACAGGACCCAGCACGGAGGGCCCTCTGTCCTCCCCACCATCTGCCCTCACCCTTGCAACACCCCGACTCAGCCTCTCTCTGGCCTCGTGTCTCATTAAAAACAGGGAAGGCAATACTCAAGTACTGGCCCCAGCAAGGAGCCCTCCTCCCCTGGACTCAGGGAGCCGGTCACCACTCCTGGGGACCTAGAGATTCTCAAGGATCCCAAGACACCCTGGAGAAGTGGCCCATCACTCCACCCAGAAAGGCTGACAGAATCCAGGGGCAAAATCAAACCAAGTCAGGGCACTGGGGGTCTCCAAAAGGTTCTCAGAGAACAAATACCTCAGGCCGGAGATGGGACAGGTGGAAGGGCACTGAGATCCCTCTGTCCCCTCTGTCACTCCTCCCACTGCAGCCGCCCCCACCCCACGAGGTTGAGCCACTGAACTCACTTCAAAGAGGCACTTCTCCATCTTCACGGACCCCCTAAATGTCCCTCCCACAAACATGAGGATACCACAACCTTTAAAAGCAAATAATATCCAGCGACTACACAGAGAAAGATGGTCGCTCCTTTTAAGAGAATTTAGACCCCACCCAAGTCCTGTCCTGGCTGTGCACCCCTGAGAACAAGGGACAGGAACAGAAGGAGAGGTGGGGAGAGTGCGGAATGGGGAGGGGGCTGCCAGCAGGCATGTGGTATTTGAGATCTGGCCACTGGCCTGAGGCTGCCTGCTGTGTGTGTCCGCCACACTACTGGGAACCTGTCCACTGAGCCAAGACCAGCCTTCCCTGATCCCCATCCCAAACTCACAGCTTGGTGGGCATTCTATGAGGTGATCACAGCAAGATAAGGGGACACGGTGACAAAATAAAAGGGTGAGCAGCACCCCTTGACTCCAGGCTCCCCTAGATGCCCCACCACCCACTGGGCTGAGAGAGGTGACTGTGTCCCAAAAACCTACTGCACAACCCTGTGCACCTTCCGGGTTCTGCAGCAAGTGGGGGGAAGGGGGGAGGGGGCAACAACACGCTAGAAACAGGAAGAGGACTGATTCTTTCAGGGAGCCCTCCTCTCCAATCTCTCTCCTCCCCAGACTAAGGTCCCACCCCTCACTCCCAGCCCCCCTCTCCGCCTAATTAAAACACCCCCCTCCCCATCCTGGCCCCGTGCCAGGAGCGGCGCCTCCCTCTGAGCAGAACCCACAACGCTCTCCCGCAGACCGCGACGCCACTCCGCCACTCCTCCTCCCTCCCTACAGCCAGGGAAACTGAGGCAGGGGAAGGGGAAGGGGAAGGAGAACCTCAGAGGTGGGTGCTCCAACCGCAATGCACAGCACCCAGATCCAACGCAACAGAAAGTAAAAAAGAAAGAAGCCACCGGGAAAGGGGGCTGCCCGGGAGCCCCGCTCCCACCCCACGACCGCGCGGCGCCGCGCTCCCAGCGAGCCCCTGCCGCCGCCGCGCCCGCCATCCGCGCGCCGCCCGACCGCGTGGCCGCCACGCCCCCTGCGCGCGCCCCACCCACCGGGGCCCCGCCCTCCCGGCAGGCGCGGCGGCCGCCCGGGCGCGCCCCCCACCCCGCCCCCGACCCGCCACGCAGTTTCGGGGTCCCGGCGGGGGAGGGGGCCCAGGAGGCCGGCCCGGCGGGCCGGACTCACCCGTGTGCGTCCGCAGGTGCGACTTGAGGTGCGAGGACTTGTAGTAGGCTTTGGCGCAGCCCGGGAAGGGGCAGCGGTGGCTCTTGGCGGCGGCGGGCGCGGCGCCGGGGGCGCGGCCGGAGGACGGAGACGAAGCGGCCGAGGAGGAGGAGACGGGCGAGGCGCCCCCCGGGGCCGCGGCGGACCCGCCTCGCAGGTCGGCCAGGATACTGGCGGCCAGCAGGTGGGGCGCGGCGGCGGCTCCGGGGCCCAAGCCCGGGGCAGCCCGGGAGGGCGGCGTTGGCGGCCCCGGGGGCCCGGGCGGGGCGGCCTCGCGGCGTGGCGCGCGCACATCCAGGCCGGCGGCGGGGCCCGCGCCCTCGGGGCCCGGCCGCCCGCGGTGCACCACGGCGCCCGAAGAGATGGCCATGAGCACGTCGGCTGCGAAGTAATCCACGCACGCTACCGCCGCCGACATGCCGGGAAAGGGCGCGCGGCGCGGACCGAGCGGAGGTGGCGGGAGCGGCGCCCGTCCGGCCGGCGGCGGCTGCTCGAGTGCGGGAGGAGGAGGCCGGTGCGCGCCGCCGCCGCCGCCCGCGCTCGACCCGCCCCGCCCCGCCTGACGCGCCCTGACGCACCGGAGCCCGCGGGGGCGGCCACGTCCCGCCCCGCCCGGAGGACGCCCCCTCGGGGCGCCGCGGCCACGCCCCCAGCCCGGCGCGCCCTCCAGCCGGCCGCACGCTGCCGCCCGGGGCGGGGTCCGGGCGGACGGAGCCGCCTCCCTGGCGCGCCCCCTCCCGCCCGAGAGCGCGCCCCGGCCTTCGACCCTGTGCTCTCCTTCCCACGCGTGCTTCCAGGCCTGGAGCCCGACCCTCCTGGTGCGCCCCTTCTGCTGCCGCAAGACCTCCAGGCACCTCCCAGAGAGCCCCCTCCACCAGGGCGCCCCGCCCCTCCTCCCCGGACCGCCCCGCCCCCTCCGGCGCACCCCTCCTCCGCGCGCTCCCCGCCCCTCGCGGGCGCGCCCATCCCACGGCGCGGCGCGCGGCAAGCCGGAGACCGCCCCTTCCCCAGCGCTGCCCCCGGGCCCCAGCGCGCCCCCGTTCGAGAGGGGGGAGGGCTCCACACCCCACGTGGCTGGGTGGGGGTACGGAGGCGGCCAGCCCCGCCTTCTGGCCACGTGCGCGACCCTTCCCCCCCACACACACACACCGGGCCTAGTGCCCGGCTTGACTGCGCGCATGTGCCCCCTCGCCGCCTTTGGTGATAGTCCCCATGCTGCACCCTGAGGCTCCCGGGGCCGCCCTGGCCTAGGCGCCGGAGGAGTGGGCCGCCCCACCCCCCGGGGCGAACGAACCCGTGTTCGTTCCTCTTTTTGCGCCCCATTCGGGAGTCCCTCTGCTCGCCTTTAGGACCGAGGGTTGGTGTGCGTTCCGGAAAGGGGTTGGGAAAAGGAACCTACTGGAATCGCCAAAGGCTGGACTCGGGGCGCCTTGGCGAGGCAGAGCGCCCGGCCCTGCCGAGACACGCGGGGCACGGACACCGCTCCCCGGAGCTGGGCAGGGATCCTTGTATGTTTGAACGACGAAAGTGTGGTCTAAGCCCCGGAGGATGTACAGACCAAGTTTAATAGCTGGGGACGCAGATGGCCGGGGCTCGCAGCCCCAAAGTGGTGGGTGCAGGCCAGTGGGCGACCACGCCCCCGCCCCTTCCTCTGCCAGCGGTGGCGGCGTTGCACTAGCCTGAGCGGCCTCCAGGGGGCCTGCACGGCCTCCCCGCCCAGATTACAGTCCCCAATGCTAGTTTGGCGACCTGCAAGTGCACAGGGGCCGTGAACCTGGCCAGATCTGGGAACTCGATCCTTACCCTCTCCACTCCTAACTGGCCTGATACCGCTGAGCTCCTTTACCCCCAGGCTAGCCACTGTCCCCTGGGGTTCCGCCCCTTGGTACTAACTTGTGGCGGCCCAGAGGAAAAAGGGAGAAATGAAGCCCAGTGGGCTCCCTGTGACAGACAAGCCCAGGCGCTCCGAGGCCCACTCTGGGCAGCCATTATCCAGGTGGCATTCATTGGGCGCTGGCGGTCAGCATTCCTGCCAACCTGGGCCCCCTGTACCTTTGAAGATCTAGGTGGGTAGGCCCCCAAACCCCCATCTCTGTAGTCCCACCCACAGGTGCTGCTAGGTCCCCACAACCCAATTTCTCCAAGTCCAGAAGAGGCAGGCAACCCTTTGCAGGGTCTGCCCACCAGGCAACACAGGAAAATAGCAGAGTGAGAAAAAGGCTGACCTCCAAGGCCTCAGTCAAGGGCAAGGCAACTGGAAGTTGACAGTGGCATGGGTGAGCAGGCACAGGCCCGGCAAGTGGAGGAAGTAGGGATAGTGTCCCAGAGGCAGATCCATCTGGGGCCTGAAGTGTGAGAACCTCAGGCTGGTGTGGCAGGAATGCAGGGCAGTGGCTGAAGAGGTACCCTCTTCCTACAGAGGGAAGGAGGTTAGCTGTGACAAGGCAGGGTCAGGACTGCCATACAGGCTGTGCCCAGCAGGCTCAGTGGTCCGGACAAGTCATTCTCTCGGGGCCTCAGATGTGCACCACTCCCAGGGATAATGAAGGTCTAGGGCCTCCATTTATGGGCCACAACAGCTGTTCGCAGGAGACCCCTGCTCTACCTGTGGAATTTCTGTTTACACCCAGGCCACCAGCAGATATATGACCCTCAATATATATGCTCTTCCCAAAAACCCACAGCCCCAGTATACTCATGAGAAAACAGAAGGCCAGATTAGGGGACATTTCATAAAACGCTCCCCAAACTGTCAAGGTTATGAAAAAAAACAAAGACTCGAAGTGCCCTAGACTGTAAGAGACTAAGGAGATGTGATGACTAAATATGATGTGGGGATCTGGGTTGGATCTTGGGACAGATAAGGATGTCAGTGGAAAATATGATGAGACTGGCATGTAGTTTGGAATGCACACAAGTCCATTTATTGGCTTTAACACGACGTTAACATGAAGGGCATTGGGTGAAATGTAGATACCACCTTTGCAACTTTTCTGAAAAAAAACCCAAATGATTCCAAGATAAAAACTTTAAAACAAACATGGAGAGGGAACATGGGAGTAATTTAATAATAATGACCACATGGATAGTAGCAGCTTACATCAGAGGAACTATACATGGTGTCATTGCTCTGTATACAGTTACGGAAATTGCCAATTTTGTGCCATTTGACCCACCAATTCCACTCCAAAAAAGGTACCAAAAAATATTAATAAAGAAGCAAGTATGGCCTGGCCAGCATGGCTCAAGGAAGTCATGGCTTAATTACCAGTCAGGGCACATGTCCAGGTTGCAGGCTCAATCTCCAGTGTGGGGCATGCAGGAAGCAACCTATCAATGATTCTCTCTCCTCAATGATGTTTCTCTCTCTCCTTCTCTGAAATCAATAAAAATATATTTTTTTTTAAAAAAGAAGCAAGTATGTATAGCTAAACTATTTGTAATTGGAAAAAAGAAACCACCTCAACACTGGTTATTAAATTATGGATTAAGTTCCTTGGGAGAAGCAGGACACAGGGTCAGGAAGGAGGAGCCAGCTTCAACTCCCAAGGAGGCCCGTTCATGCTGTGACCTCTGTAGCCTGCCCACAGTGATCACCTGTAGAGGGACCTGCAGGGACATGGGAGGAGCGAGATGGGATATGGAGATTTAGGAGTCAGTGGACCAGCTCCTTGGAGGGGCATGTCAGATAGCACACGCCCTTATTCAGCCACCTGTGTGGTATTGGGTGTTGGCAGATAGGACCCTAACCACTCAGTGTTAGTCCTGTTCACTACTCTGGTACAAATATAAGGTTTAGTTGGTTGAGCACCATCCTGTACACTGAAAGGTCACAAGTTCCATTCCTGATCAGGGCACATACCCAGGCTATGGGTTCGATTCCCAGTCAGGGTGCTGCAGGAGGCAGCCGATCATTGTTTCTCTCTCTCCCTCCCTCTCTAAAAGTCAATAAAAATATATTAATCCTAGCTGGTTTGGCTCAGTGAATAGACTAAAGGGTCCTGGTCTAGGACACATGCCCGGGTTGTGGGCTCAACCTGTGGACTAAAGGGTCCTGGTCTAGGACACATGCCCGGGTTGTGGGCTCAACCCCCAGAAGGGGGTGTGCAGGAGGCAGCCGATCAGTGATTCTCTCTTATCACTGATATTTCTATCTCTCCCTTCCTTTCTGAAATCAATAAAAATATACTTGAAAAAAATATATATATATATCAAAAAGCCCTGGCCAGCCGAAACCAGTTTGGCTCAGTGGATAGAGTGTCGGCCTGCGGATTGAAAGGTCCCGGGTTCGATTCCGGTCAAGGGCATGTACCTTGGTTGCGGGCACAACCCCACTGGGGGGTGTGCAGGAGGCAGCTGATGAATGATTCTCTCTCATTGATGTTTCTAGCTCTCTATCCCTCTCCCTTCCTCTCTATAAAAAAATAAAATATATTTAAAAAATAAAATAAAAAAGCCCTGGCCAGTGTTGTTAAGTGGGTAGAGTGTCAGCCCGCACACAGAAGGGTCATAGGTTCGATTCCCAGTCTAGGGCACACACTAGGATTGCAGGCTAGATCCCTGACCCAGTTAGGGTGCATGCGGAGACAAACAATTGATGTTTCTCTCTCTTTCCCCCTTTTTCCCTTTCACTCTCTCTAAAAAAATCAATGGAAAAAATATCCTCAGGAAAGGATTAACAAAACAAAACAAAAAAATTGGTTTATTTAGATGTTACCCAGCTGGTCTTCTCTTTAATCCAATTCTGATTTCAAAGAGTCACCAGAGTTAATACATATCTGCCACCCCCCTAGTCAAGCCAATGTTGTAGCAGTATGTCAGCCTTCTGTGATAGGGCATTTTAGAGATTAATGCACACTTCCCACTCTCTTAAGACATTCATGTTTATTTCCAACATGTGTGATGCTACTTACCATGGTCCAGGGATCCCTCACAGCCAAGAGCTCAGGGTAGGACAATGGATGTAACTAGAATGAAGCAAGCCCCAGCCAGGCCTAGCCAGATAGTGGGCATACGACTGACCTACTACTGGCTGTCACACAGAATGCACTAGACCCCTGCTCAAAGCACTGGAGACAGACCCAGGGGCCCCATTCCTTCTCCAGGAAGTGGGAGGGACAGAATCTGGCTCTAACCTGGTGTTCACTTACTTCCTTTCACATGGGGACTCCCTCCCCAGAACTCTTGCTCATCCTCACTCCTTGGCTGGCCCAAGATCCCTGAAAGTAGGGGCTCAGAGAGGCACCATGCAGGCTTCATTTGTCTGGCTCTCAAGGACACCCAGGGCCTGGCCTCCGGGCCACCTCTCACAGGTCCATGTTCCTCTAGTCCCCACCTTATCTGCTGAAGGAGAAGAGCCATCTTCAGGATGCCCTCCTCCTCCGACATGGGTGAGCTCTGCTAGGCATGCTGGGCTTC